CAGTCTGGCAACCGTTTTAGGGCCTGTAGGGCCTGAACTCGGTTGTCAGGCTGAAATGTCTCCGGGGCCTGTAAGCCCTAAGTTTTAGGCTTCAGTCTGGCAACCGTTTTAGGGCCTGTAGGGCCTGAATTCGGTTGTCAGGCTGAAATGTCTCCGGGGCCTGTAAGCCCTAAGTTTTAGGCTTTTAGGCTGACTGTCTGGGACGGGCCCTGTAGGGCCCGTGTGGCTACGCAGTATGCCACACTTGTCCTCATATGGGGGGACAGCTGTATTTTTTACTACTCTAATTTATTCTCTCAATATTGTATCAGCCTCCCACTAGCTACCTACCAACCACCACACGTGAATGGTGAACCCTAAGTCGAGCGCTGCTCTTTCTCTCTCTCTCTCCACTTCCTCCTCCTTTGATTTTCAGCAGGTCTTGCAATTTCTTGCAGTAGTTACTAATAAAACGCAGTCCGAGTTTTGCATTATGAATGTAGTCGGATCGCCGTAAAAGATTCATAATAACATAGTAGGATTACTAGGATAGTAATAAAAATGTTCCACTAAGAGAAGTTATAAAAAAACAATTAAAACGGAAAAAAAGGCTCCACTGTTGCTATGTTTGTGCTATGGAAACATTTTTTTTTTTTTTGGGAGCTATGGAAACATCAACCTGGCTTTAAAAATTTAAAGGAAAAAATACTAAAATAGGGAAAATTGAAAACTCAAAATTTGTTGGATGCCTGTGAAAGACGTGGTATGTCGTTGGGCGCCCCTCAATGAGAGAAGGGCATCGTATACTGCCCTTCTGGGAATCTGTGATCTTTCGCATATGCCCCTGCTGTCCTGATGATACCCAAATTTGCGTCATGGGCCCGTCCGTTGACGGTTGGGCCCAAAAATTTTGTTTTCATTTTTTGCTGTCTGCCCCTCTACTGGGCAGGCATCTCTTCTGCCTGCCCACAGCCATTTGGGCGGGTGCGCAGCCGGCAGATTCGAATCCGGGCAGGGCAATGTGTTGCTGCTGCCCGAATGCGAATTTCCAAAAATGGGTGATCGATTTGGCGTGTGTTGATGTCGTTCGGCGCCTTCGCCGCCCTCGCTTGTTAAGGTAATCACCACCGCTGTAGCTCAGGCAGAAGTTGACTGGAAAAAAAAAAAGAAAAAAAAAAGGAGGATTAGAGTGAAGCACACCTGACAGGTATTTCACAGCCGTCTTTGATTCCCTCGTCTTTTTTTTTTTTTAGACTTTTCATTTACGAAAGAGACAAAAAAAGAGGACTCCAGTGTGCAGCTTGTTTGTGTATTTACTATTTTGTAGTATTTCCTATTTTTTATTTAGTATTCAGAATAATATTATTTAATGAATATTTCATTATTTGATGTTTAATATATTTTATTATTTTCTATATTTTTGTTTTTTTCAACCGTGGTGGTTCATGCTTTGACAGGGGGCGGGATTCGGATGGCAACGAGTTTTCAAGGCCCTACACACCCACCTCTCTCGATTCCGACCTCGGCATCCTAGAGCTTGTCGTAAAGGTAAGGGACAGACCAACCAGAGTGGTGGGGGGGACCACTTATCTCAAGAGTACCAAAACCGGAGTGGTGGGGACTAATCTCAGAGTACCAACCAGAGCGTTGGGACTAATCTCAGAGTACCAACCAGAGTGCTGGGACTAATCTCAGAGCGATGGGACTAATCTCAGAGTACGAACCAGAGTGGGACTAATCTCAGAGGCGATGGGACTAATCTCAGAGTACCAACCGGAGCGCTGGGACTAATCTCAGAGCGATGGGACTAATCTCAGAGTATGAACCAGAGGGGGACTAATCTCAGAGGCGATGGGACTAATCTGAGAGTACCAACC